AAAGCATGCTTCCCCAGAGCAAATTCCTCAGAAGAATCTGGGGAGCTGGCTTCTGGGCTATAAGCCTCACTTTGGTTCAAATAAAACTATTTTCTTAGTCTTCATTATTTATTGATTATTTTCATTGACAGAAGGAATCTAAATGACACAACCAAGGATTATCTCAAGACTGTGACCTTGAGAATTTTAGGTGCTGTTGACTAAACTTTTCCACTGATTTTGAGTAAGTCATTGTGGTTCCCCTCAGCAGTGCCTCTGATCCAGGATAAGTTTGTTGGAGTTGGACCAATCTACTAACAAACTAATTATATTAATCTCCTGACCTCTGACTTCTATCATTTCCCAAAATGTTTGGGCTGTCTCCCCTAGAAAGGCCAGTGGAAATGGTGATCAACAATATGAAGTAGTACTTGGTTAGATTCATAGTTGGAACTTTATGTCACATGATCAAATTAATGTAAGTTCGAGCAATGATTCTCATTCTCATTGGGGACTTATTGGTGAGTATGGAGAAAAATGTGTAAAGTTTTAAAAAACATATTGATTCTCATAACAGTCAGCTCTCCATACCCTCAGATTCATTTTACATAAGGGGCTTGAGCATTTGTAGAATTTGGCAACCATGTTGGATTCTGAAACCAATCCCCTACAGATACCAAGGGAGACTGGGTAATTTCATATTGAGAACATAAAAAATATATTCACCTACTATTGTACAATCTTTAGGTCATGTAAAAAAGTATAAAAATAATAAAACAAACAGCCAAGTATACATTACTCATTTAAGAATTAGGGACTTTAGAGGAAATGTTTTCAGTTTTCACCACTGAGAATAATGTTTGCTGTGGGTTTATCAAACATGGCCTTTATTATGTTGAGGTAGGTTCCTTTCTCTGGAGGAGGGCATGGTAACCCACTCAAGTATTCTTGCCTGGAGAATCCCCATGGGTAGAGCAGCCTGGTGGGCTATGTTCCATGGGGTTGGAAAGAATCAGACATAACTGACTGACTAAGCACAGAACAAAAGAGGTTTCTTTCTATGCCCATTTTTGAAGAGTTTTGTCATAAATGGGTACTGAATTTTGTCTAAAGTTTTTCTTCATTGATTGAGATGATCATATGGTCTTTACCTTTCATTAAAGGTAAAAAGATTGATTTGCATATATTGAAGAATCCCTGTATCCCTGGGATAAACCCTACTTGATCATAGTGTATGATCTCTTTTTCTGTTGTTGAATTCTGTTTGCTAGAATTTTGTTTAGGATTTTTGCATCTATGTTCATCAGTGATATTGGGCTGTGATTCATGTTGATGTATGGCAGAAACCAATGCAATATTGTAAATCAATTATCTTTTAATTAAAAATAAATAAGTTAAAAATAAGAATTAGGGACAACAAATATAATTGAAACTCTAAGCCACATGAACCCAATCACTTTTTTCCTAGAATTAGCAGTTGCCCCAATCTTGTCTGTCATCCCCCAAGCTCTTTCAAGTTTTGAAAGAGTAATAAACAAAATATTCTTTGTTTCATATGTTTCAAAACTATTGAAATGATTTCACATAGTATGTAGCCTTCTGCAAATTTTTACTGTCCTCATTATTAGGCTTTTAGATGTTTTCATATTGTTACACATAGCTTTGACTCATTTTGACTGATGAATATTATTTCCATTATTTGCAAAAAGCACAGTTCATGTATCTGTTCTTCTGCTGATGAGCACTTAAGTTATTTAGTTTCTCCATATCACTAGCAATGCTATAGTGATTAGAATCTATCTAGGTGCACAGGTATGATGGTGAAATTGTCACATCCTCAGGTAGGCATATCTTCAAATTTCTGATATTTTTATTAGCTGCTCTATAAAATGGTTGTACAAATTTCCCTCCCCTCCATGAAGCAACTTATGACAGTGTGTTGATTGACATCCTCTCTAGAACTTTCAAATGTCAGTCTGATGCTGTGAAATGAGGTCTTGTTCTTTTAATTTGGGATTCCTAGACAAACATAATTTTAATAGAAATAAAAACAAACTCCAGAGAGTAAAACTCAACAATCACTTTTGCCTAGTAGGATAACTCAATAGGCTGTCTCTGAGATCCTCAAGTGATGGGTGAAGAAGGCATGGTGCCCTAGGGAAATGTGTGAAATTGTCTGAGGTGGGGTTCTGGTGTTTTATTTATCTTGGCTTGGGAAAATGGTGGGAAAAAGTTCTGTAGAGAGAGCAAAGCCCAGTGAAATTGTATTGGGTCTATTATTATAGGTTAAAAGACAGAGTTGTAAACAAAAGAGCAGAGTGACTCAGGACTAAAAGGGGAGAATGAGAATTAAAAGAGCTTCAGTAAATTAAGGGGATTACTGCTGTTTCCTTAGAATTTGCCTGTTTGAATCTTATTCTCTTAGTTTACCATTTATGTCACCAGGGCCTCCAGTTATGACCTACTTAGAGCAAATGACTTATTGATAATCACAGAATCATGGAGTTGGTAGGGATCTTAGATATTATTTTATACATTAGAAAAGTATAAAGATAAGGTACACACACATGAACAGGTTTTAAGGAAACAACTGAAGAGAGAGACAATTAGGGTCTTTGACTAACTGGTCCAAGTTTTCTGGAGTACTAACCTGATCACTAAGATAGTAGCAAGATCCCCATTTTGTGCTTAAATTTGTGATACAGTGTTTGAGAGCATAGGTTTGGAAACAGAGAGGCCTGGGCATGATCCCAAGCTCAGCAAATGTTAAAGGTGTGATCTTGATCAAGCCATTTGACTTCTTCAGCTTCAGTTTCCTTATTTGTAAAATAAGAGAGGTTTTAATTTCTACACACACATTGTTCTTATGTCATGAGAATGAACTGATAAAGCCATTTTAGTCCCTGACAAACATTAAGCAATGATAAATGGCTGATGTTATATTTTTAACACCTCAATGTTTGAGATACAAACTAGTCATTCTGGGGTTCTAACTTGGGTTGCCAGAGGAACAAAGAGGAAAATTTGGTTAGTTAAACAAGGCAGCAGTGGCTGGTCTAGGTCTCCATCACAACACACCACGCATGCTTTTGATTGTTTAACCTGAATTTGGGGAATTTTTTTTAACTTCAACGATTTGAAATTTTCCTTATTTACTCAGTTATGTGTCTCTATTCCAATGACTCTGTATTTATATACTTTGGAGACTTCACAGAACATGGAAACCGAGTTGTCTCCCTACTTTTCAAATCTTTCAATTCCAAACTCTAAAATATGTGCAGCTAAAATTCTTTCATTATTTTTGAAGGAGAATCAGTGGCCATTTGAAAAATAATTATGTCTTTACTTGGGTATGGCATCCATTTTACCTATTTCCCTTGTCACATGAATTTACCATTATTTTTCTCTTGCTTTTATATCTGCTGACAGCTTTTGCTTCAAGATGGCTGAGTACATATACACACATAAGTTTACCTTTACACTCTTCTACAATTATATTGGGGAAAAAACCCTCAAAAACAAAAAATAGAGTAAATCTAAAGCAGTGTGGGGGAAAATATCCATCAGTAGACAATAATATTGGGAAAGTTGTAAAAGCTCTAAAGATGATAGACGAGATTTTTTTTTAAAAACTTAATCCAATAGAACCAAAGAACTGTTCACATAATACAAGTATAACATAGAATCACTGAAATGGTTTGCTTCCCCAGAATGGCTCTGAGTCAGAATCATGACTAGGGTGATATGAATAAGACAAATGAGGAAACTGCCTTTTGAAAAGTTGCAGAATTTGAGGGGTGCTCAAAACTCAGTAATTAGAAGGAATAATATTTTTAAAAATAAAAATTAATGCCAAAATTACATTGCTAAAAAATATCAGTATGATTCATTTTTCCTTTAGCCTCAGACTCCAGTGTAGCATGGAACTATGAATGATCCTGTCTTCATTTACGGTTTGATATTTTATCCATCCTAGATTTTTGTTTTATTTTTGATCCTTTTAAAAGAGTACACTAGAATATTATTTTTCCTGATTACTGTTTTAGCATCTACTTAAACTTTATATCTACGGTAGATCCTCAATTATCTTGTATGCACCCTCTTGGTCTCAGCTGTACCCTGAGTATTCGTCAGATCAGAAGCAGCAGGAGAGGACTCTGAGAAAAACTCTGAATATTATTTAAAGGATTGTGAATTACTGGGCTTGACCCAATGCATAATGCACTGACTCTGATGTTTGTCCTCAGAATAAATGGAGAGATAAGTTCTTGAAATAATATGGCAACTTTTCCTCAGGGAACTTACACAGTTGGCTTTGAGTTACAGCAAGAAACAGAACAGGAGTCTAAATAACTTTCACAATATATAAGAATTACCTGTATACAAAATATAAGCTCCCCATGTATCTTTAAAATAAAACCAAATCAACAATATGTTCACTGGTCTCACACACATAGCCCTTTCTTAGTTATTTGCTATAGCTGAAAATGACCTGTAGACTGAACACATATTCCTTTCCTGAAAAACAGTGATATTTACTAGAACTGAGGAAGATCTCTGCAGTCTTTACTATAGATCAATCACAGGAAGAGGAGAAAAGCCAACACAGAATGAAGATATACCTGAAACATGTAAAAGGATAAATTCTCACCTCAGAAAGTAAAGTTGACAACAGAAATAGAAGGAAATTTGAATTGTTTCTATTCCCAGAGAGATTTGACAGGATATCAAATTCATAGCATAGCAACAGGCTACTTTGCAAAAAGGGTAGTGGGAGTTTGGGAAATTTTACTGCACATTCCTTTTAATTTCAATATAAAATCAGAAGAGTAGTGAAGTAGGGAAGTCACAACCTGAACATGTTTCATTGATTCAAGGATAGTTTTGTTCCTTATAGAATCCCCAGCACCTGGATGAGATCAGTACATGTTGGTCTTGTCTTATCAGACAACAGGCTAGAGTTACAGTAGTAAATTGTGACATCATTTTCAATTGTTTTCTACCCTCTCTGTTGCCATGTGACCTGAAGAACTATTTTACCAGAGGAGCATACATCCCAATCCCCTTGATATCAGGGACATGTGACATGTTTTGGCCAATGGGAGGTGAGCAGATGTGAAACATACTATGTCCAATCAAGTTTTGAAAGCTTTGAGTGCCTTAGTTCTTTGTATGTATGTATGCATTTATTTATCCTGTTCACCAAAAGAATGGCAGGTCCTAAAAAGGGATTGCTCCTTCAGTCCAGATTCTGAAATGAACAAGATAAACGCAGTAAAGCACATTCAGTGTGCAACCTTCAGAGATAACATGAAACATAAGAGAGAACTGAGCTTTTTGTGGTAAAACACTAAGGTTTGGAGGTTATTTGTCATCAAAGCAAGGCTGACTATTACAGTTAACTGATTCACTTTGATGATGTTTAGGCAAATTTATCTCAAAATCCTTGTGTTACTAATACATGGAACTTACTAGTGAAATATTAATAGAATTATCTATTTGAAAAAAAATTAGGACCAAAAAAATGTGAACAACCAAAAATGTAATCAGGAAAGGTACATGTTAACCAGCAAAATAATAAGAAGCAAAATAGAATAAGAGAAAAACATAACAGAAGTTAATAGAAATAAATACAAATATGTTAGTGATAAAAATTTTAATATAGCATATTAAAATTCCTTATTAAGAGACAACTAATTTTGATTGAGTAATTGCTATTGAGAAATAAAACTTAAAATCTAGCAATGTAAGCACTGAACTATTTCATCTGAGAATATAACTCTTAGTAATACAAAGTTAAATTTTAGTGAGTACTGAAAATATTTATGAAACATCTAAATGTTTAAAAAAAGTACTCAATATTAGTCATTTCTATTACTCTCATCTATCTTTGTAAAAAGAAAAAAATATATGTCCAAATACATATATATATATACACTCATGCACATATATATACATATATCCTAGAAAACCTCTGAAGATAAAAAGTTTTCTCCTTAATTGTTCTTTTATATTGTTTACCTAAATATGGCTGACTATGTTGCATAATACTCTCAGAGATACAAAGACATGAACAGGGAACAAATATTCCATTCTGGTTAAGAAGAAAACTATACTCCTTAATCACCAGTTATCCAGGCAAGAAACAAACAAACATCCACATGGACATAAGAAAAGGATTCTCACTCTTGTGGCAAAACAGAACAAATCAAACTGAAAAAACTACACGCAAAATGTTGTGTGTTCAAGTTCTCTAAACTCTACTCATACTTAGAGTCAACACATAGGGTCTCAACATAGTTATTAGCAACATTGCCTTTCACCTTCAAAACTGCCCTGGTTTGGTTGATAAATTCATGGTACCCATTTATCAACCTTACTGTGATTTATTATAGTATGTATAATAAGTGGAAATAGAACTACAGATACTGCAATCAGGGAGTTTTACTCTTCTTCATAATAGTGTGCTACAGAATTCTGGGGGATTCAGAGAGGAAAATGGTAGGTACACAAAATGAGTCATTAATTGCCCTGTAATCTAAATCCATTATAGTCATTAACTTTCTGTTTTAGTTTAGTCATCTGTAAACTAGAGATAACATATAATTTTAGTAACTTCATAACCATTCCTCTAAGACTTGGATAATATGACATGGGACCATTTTGCATATCATAATGCTTTAAGCATTTTAAATATATTTTTATTGATAATCTAAACATTATTTATATAGAGTACTTAGCACTGTCTCTTTTTCTCTTTGGCAGCTGTGTGTGTAGATTCAAGATCATAAAGTCTTGAAATAACGACATAATAAACTTTTTGAGTAGACATTATCTTTAAATATAAGTTTTGAGTTTAGTTAATTTTAACAGTAGGAAAACTCATATGGCATTATTTCATTCCTATTACTTTCATAGATTTCCTTTTCAGGTACAACCTGGAGAAAAGTAAAAAAGACCACTTTACTCTCTTGAAGTCAATTTCTCCTAACGTGGAAATAGGCCCAAATTGCTCAGTTTAGCTGCAAGCAGAAGACATTCACAAAGGTTTCTCTGTTTTTCCTGGAAATGAATCGTGTGTGTCACTTGGTGTGTTCTTATTATGATGAAGGAAAACTTCTTCATTAGTGAGTTTTAAATTAATGACTTAAAGAAAGATGTAATAAGTAGCAATGAGAATCAGGTTTTAGTTTTTATCTCCCTTCTCTGACTAATCTCAAAAGTCTTAAATTGTCAAAATTCTTACAGCCTAGCTTTCCAACCTACCAAAATAGCATGAGTCTCTATATTTAATGGATAGCTTGTTTCAACAAAACTTTGCAATTATTTCTCAAACTCGGAACACTCACATCTGAGGTGAGATTGATTTCACTTGGTTCTGTCTGGCAGAGCCATCTCTTTCCCTCTTGAAGACTACAATTTCTCTAGTTTTGTCTCATCCTGCATAATTCTAGGAGAAATTTCACAGGGAATAAATATGTAGAGATGAAGCATGTTTGCTTTGTTCTCGACCCTGTATAAATCACTGGCTTTAGTAGTTCCAAAACACTGTGTGTATAATGTAAATAAAGATGCTACTTTCCCAACATTATTTTGAAGATTTCTGTATAACAGTGCACTTTAAAAAACGTAGTAATTGCTATCATTGTGTACAATGACCGAGTAAGCTACTGGCATTGATAACACTCTCCAGAAAGCCTGAATTAAACATCTTTATTGTTGAGGAATACAGAGAAAGAGAAAAATCTTTCTGTGTGGCATGAGGGCAAAGGAGGTAATACTCCCAGCACCACAGGGAAGTATTGCTATCAAAAATAGTCATTTTTATCATTTAAGGTCAGAGAAAAGACAACAAGCCTGCCACAACCAATGAGGCGATCTTTCCAAAGTAGTTAATCTCTAAGAATAATGGTAATGAGCAAACTCAGAAAATCTCGGATCCTTCTTTGGTAGCTCTCTGGCTGACAATTAGATCTACAAACTCTCTCTGGTACACTTAAGAATTACTTTGAAATATGGCAATCTCAACAGGGAAGGATGTTATTACATCATTATTGCTGCAGTGCAACTAATGAGAGGAAAGTAAACATTGTTCCTGAAAGAGTTAATTCTGTGCCTCTCCTTATACCTAATTAACAACAGGAAGGCCTTAGGCAAGAGAGAAAATAGGACTTTGGGGATTATGTAATCTCATCTGATTCCAAGTAAATCCAAGGAATACCTGTCAACCAGACAGACAGCAGTAACAGCTAGGATTTGCAATCTGATTTTTAAAACCTTCTGTGGGGAAATAGATGTGAATGCAGAAAAGGAATTTGCTTCAGTTAAGCTTCAGATTTCCAGAGGGTCATTAAATTAAATTCACAATCGCTGAGAACTCTAATAAGTATTTGCTTTTGCATTTAGTAAAATCTCACTAATTTGGACTAAGGAGAAAGAATAAAACTTTTGAATTAAAGAATATCTTTAAAGAAATGATGAGGTCCTGAAACTGGGTAAACAGATTATGGCCTCAGGGGATTTAATAGTGATGTATAGTTAGAATATCAAGGTAAAGTTAATTTATTACTTGTTTATAAGGGCAAGAGGTGACAGCTAGCTACAGGAAGGGTTGTCATGCAGTAAAGAAGGCCAACTTGTTTTACACTGCTCCAGAAGGCAGAGTTAAAATTCATGGGTTGAAGTTTCAACGAGCTGATTTTGGCTTTCTGCTGAATATGAATTTACTGTTTCCCATGAGGAAATGAACCTCCTTCATGTAAAGTAGTCCAGCTACCCATTGACCATCTGTAAGGGAGATTGTGAAAAGAATTCTTGTATTTGAGTTAGATCAGTGCTTTAAACTTTTTTTTTGCAACAGAAATTTTGAAAAATTGAAATCATACTCAGAATTTCAGTATATAAAACAGATGAAAGAATTGAAATGATTCCTGGATGAGTTAGAATTTTGAATACTTGAGAATATATCATGGTTCATATAAATGTGCCAACTCTTTACTGGAGCCCTTATGCCTCAAAAAGAATGGAGAGAAAGCTCTCTCCAGATCACTGGTTCTCTGATAAAGAATAAGAGTTTCCAGGTACTGGGGATGATCATTTAATTGAAAAGAAACAGACAGAAAGGCCAATATTCCCTGAAAATGTATTCCTTATAACTTACTTATTCTAAGTAAAAAAGCAGTTAACTTGAACTTATAGGTAAACTAAATGAGAATTTCTGAAATGATGACTATGTCACAAACTAGATTCAGAGATGTGGAGATTTTCTAAACAGAGGTTTAATAATTGCGGTAGCAGCCTCCAAGGTGGCCCTCAAAGGTTTTTACCTCTGGCTATTCACGTCCTAGTGAGGTCCCTTCCCACAATGAATCAAGGCTTGTCAGTAGAATACTGCAGTGAGATCATGTGTTTTCTGAGGCTAGGTTATAAAACATATCATAGATTCTAACCTGGCCCCTTGGATCATTTGCTCTGGGGGAAACCAGTGCTGTGTTGTGAGGTCACTTAAGCTTCTATGTGGAGAATCACAGTGACAGGAGCTGAGGCCTCCCACCAACAGCATGCGTCTGAGAGAACTGGGAAGCAGATCGTATAGCCTTCTTTAACTTTCAGAAGGTTGCAGGCTAGCTGACATTTGACTGGAATCTGTGAGAGATCCTGAAACAGAACAGCTCAGAAAAGCTGCTCTACAAACTTCTGACCCAAAGAAACTGTGAGATAATAAATGATTACTGTTGTTTTTAAGACACTAAGTTTCGTGGTAATTTGTTATGCAGTCAAAAAATAGTAATAATTGAGCATCCACTTCCTGGAGATTTTCTTCTAGAGCCATTCACTTTTCATTATGACTGAGGAGATGGCTTCAAAAATCTATAAGCATCATGAGAACATGGGGCCACTTTTTTCCCCCCACGCCAGTATCCTCAGTAACGAGTTCAGTTCCTGGAGAAGGTTTCCATAGATTCAATACAATTTTACTGAATAGATGAACAAATAAACAAGACTGAAAATCTTTGGAAGTTAAAATTAACGAGGTCAAATTGAGTTATTCAATAGCTGGCTTATGATTTGTTTTATTATAAATCTCAAATTTTCATTTAAAAAATTAAATAGTTTTTTGAAGGCAAAAATAAAGAATTTTCTTAAATTAGTAATTAAGTTTCTATGAAATATAAATAACATGTGGACTATATTCAGGAAAGGCATTCTAATGTGGTATGATTTAGGCTCAAAGCAATTGGACCACACATGCCCTTCTCTTTGCCAGAAATGAATTTTGTTTCCTTTCTCCAGATTTCATTCCCTTGTGCTTCAGGCTCAGCAGAGCTGTAGCTCGACCTGCAGGGTAGACTCCCCTGATTCCTTTTGTCTGGACTTGGTGTCATGGAGCATTTGCAGAATGGCACATTCAGTTTTCCAAAACAGCTTTACTGTTTTTACAAAAAGTAGTACATGCATATTTAAGAAGAGTGAAATAATACAGGATGATGGCTACTAACCTGTTCTCACCCCTGGGCTATTTAAATGAGTGATCTTTAAATTTTAAGTCCTCATAACCAACAAGCCTAAAAGCACAAGATGCAGCTACAAACTCTTGTATAAGTTTATGCAGAAAAGCACACTCTACATAATAGCAAAAAGACATTTTTAAGACTAGAACTCTCCTAACTGCCAAGATTCATTTTCTTTCCTTGTGGCTTATAATTTTCCTTCCTTCCCCTGTCATACTGATTTAACTCCAACAGGTGGATTATTCAAAGTGTAATTTTGAGAAGTCTTCATTTTTGCAAAATGAATGACATTTTAGGCTCTGAAACTGTGTCTAGGCTCAAGTAAATTCACTAACAGGACATTCTGTAAGTAGGAATGAACATTTCCTATACATGTAGCTTATATATATTGATGATTGGTTGACTTGTATTTACCACCTTATGGGAACACTGAATGCTCAGGATGCCAAAATTATTTAGGTCAACAGACATTTGCTGCACAGTGACTAAATGTGAGGCCTTAGATTAGAAAAACAAGTAGGGTAAATTCCCTACCTTCAAAGTGATTAGAGGTTAAATCATTAAAAGGAAATATATCAATCAAGTCTGCGTAAACTTTTTCTTAAAAACTTTTTAAGTAGCTGGACATTCTCTAAGATATAGTCATGACAAGGGAATTCTGCCTGCTCAGGAATATGGTGCAGAATGATTTCCAACAAGATTATATTGGTTACTGTACAATACCAGGAAAGTCTCAACTCAGGGATAGCTGACTGTATATTAGAATATTTGGATTTTTTGAACTCATTCAGTATGATAATGGAATAACTTACTTGAACTCTTTCAGATATTTAGGTGACAATTTATTGCAACAAATATGAACATTTATGTGATAAAAAAGAATTTGCAGACCAAGTCTGTCTTTGTCTAAATAGCTAAGACCTCAGTAGAAACACCTTTCCCTCCTCAATATTTTAAGAAAGCCACAGTAAGCTTCTCTGTGAACATATCAGTTCCAAGCTGACTTTATCAATACTCTACAGATTTGACCTGAAATAAATGGTCCCCTCTTTTAAATAGGGTATTCCTAGATACTGGGTTATAAAGTGGACATTTGAAAAGTAAAATTTTGACAGCCTGTCATCTGCCTAGACAGGGTCAAAAGTGGGCAAAGAAAAGAGTAGAGTGTAATGAAATATCTATTTTTTCTAGGGAGCACTGAATAAAAGGCATGGCAGATGGGAAAGCTGAAGAAAGGAGGTATTGCTATCACTTGAATTTGGTCTGACATCTAAAATGAACCAAGTATCAGGATTCAGTACTAACTAAAAATTATACACTTTAAAAATTTCAAAGTATTTTTCTAACTAAAATATGTGTCATTCAAAAATCACCCCATTTCCTCTGTGGAAATGCACATAGAACACATAGTGATAGTAAGAGAAATGCTACAGGAGCATGCCTACTTCTTATTTAGAAAACTGTGTTTAGCACAGCAAAGAACAGAGTAAATCCTGTATTTTCCATTATAATAAAGCTGATAATAATGGTTCTTAAATGGACTTTTTGTACTCAAGTCTTATGTTTCCAATTTGCCATGAGTGATAACTTGAATCAATACCTAGAGAAGAGAAAGTTCAGATGGCAGAGCCTCTTATCTTTATTTTCACAGGTATATATTGATGTGTACATTACTTTCATTCTTTCATCTAAATTGAATTTAATATGTAAAACTGAATATCTGAATAAATAGAATGTCAGGAAGAAAAAGGTAGCTTGAATTCTAATCAAAATAGAAGAAATTTTATTAATGAAATTGGAAAGAATACAAGCACAAACTATTTTAGACCTAAAATATATGGCTCATGTGGTTTACTCACAGATAGTATAGGCAATTATGGCTTTCAAGAATGCATACAAAAGAAAGTGTACTTATTTTATGTAAGCTCTATGGAATTTGAAGTAACAAGGAAACCACAGATTTCCTTTTTAATGTTCAAAATGGAAACAGAGCCTCATATTTTTATCTAATAAATACCATATATTTTTACTATTTAGTCTCCCTCATATTTAAAATTATGGATGCAGCAAAACAGTTAGAATCATGTGTCCCAGACATCTTAGAATTTGAATTTTGGAAGAACAGTAATGATCATGTTATGTTGCCCCTGTGGCTCAGCTGGTAAAGAATCCACCTCTACAGCTGGAAACCTGGGTTTGATCCCTGGGTTGGGAAGATCCCCTGGAGAAGGGAAAGGCTACCCACTCCAGTATTCTGGCCTGGAGAATAATTCCATGGACTGTATAGCCTATGGGGCCGCAAAGAGTCAGACACAACTGAATGACTTTCACTTTCACATATGTTGCCCTACCATGCCATAGAGAAGGCTCACAGAGGTTACAATGAGTATTCAAAGTCACTGAGCTAGTTAGGGACAAATCCAGGGATAGAACCTGGCACATTTTCCATTATCCTGGCTTGATCTAAGATCGGTACTACCTAAGGCAATGCCTATAGTTTAGTAGTTCCATCAACATATTAGGAAAGCATTGTCCTAAACTGCCTGCTCTGGCCAGGCATAATAACTGCTTGCATGAGTTATCTTACAATAGCAGGTCCTGATAAGGAACATGAAACTAACAAGCTACTGCCAGTCAGAATTTGGGAGGGGACAAAAGGAAAGAGGAGATGCCAGCCAATAATATGTCTTGCCAACCTCCCAGAAACCTTTGAGCTGGTCCTGACTGAGACATGAACATACAACCAGAAAAGACCCTGACTCAGATCAAATTTGGGCACAAGCAAGATGACTGGTTCAGAGACAACTCAGAATATAACCCCATTACCATAAAAGCTAAGGCTGTGAGCCTTGCTGCAGAGAAGTTCTCCTGCATCACCATATCCCACTGCTCTCTGCCCAGACTTCCCTTTCCAATAAAGTCTTTTGCTTTGTCAGCATGTGTGTCTCCACAGACTATTCATTTCTGAGTGTTAGACAAGAGCCCACTCATGGGCCCTGGAAGAGGTCCCCCTTCCTGCAACAAATGGAACTAAACTTACAATGATTGTTCTGGTTCACAACAAGGAGACCATCTGAGGTCATCATACTTTTGTCTAAAGTGCTTTGCAGATCAGCACATTACTGGAATGCCATTAAACTGCAAGGGGTGGGGGGAACTTTAAAAATGAATCATTGACTGTTTAGGGAAAAAAAAGAAGACGAAGCTCTCTGAGTCACCTGGAACTTTCATTAGGCCCTGGGCAGATGCGTCAAAGTCAAGGCATGTGCCCAACAAAAGCACCACATCATTTTCTCTTCAAATTGTGCTTTCTTTGAGGGATATAGAATGCAAATCACCTAACCAAAATGCAGAGTTGCTTGGTGATGCAGGAATTGAAAAGACAGAGTTGGGATTAGATACTGCACCAGGTAATCTACTCCCCCACAACTGGATGCACCATCTTGTCAGCTATTTGTGTTGCTTGAGCAAGGCACTGAATTTTTGTCAATCTGCTTTAATTAATCTTGCCATAGTCCTATCGTGGGGTGGGTGAGCTTCTAAACATTAAACAGTAGAATTACCCACCAGGTGGCTTTTCCCAAACACCCCCAGCCCCAATTAAAGAGCTCTATTTTGTTTGGGTTTCCTCAAATGGCGCTCTTGTTAACACTCATCAAACACAGGAAAAATAAAACAGCAATTTAACTGCACTCGCAGTGTGAAAGGCTTGTGCAAATAATCAGCACATTTCTAACTGGTTAGTAATAGGCAGAGTGCAAAAAAACAAATGACCAGATTTATACCACTGGGCAGATCTGAAAGCAACATTATAGCTGAAATATATTCATTTACAATTTAAAGCAAGCCTTTCAGTGAATAATTGTTTACATAATAGTGGAGAGCGCTTGTGCTGCACAACCGGTATCCATTTACAATGTGTTAACCAAATAATGCATGTTTACAAAAGATTTTGGGTTTGTTTTTGGAGAAAAGAATCATGGTACCCATGCCAACAAAAGCAGAGCAGTATGTACAGTTAGTAAATCTTTTCTTAGCTGCAAAATGAGTGTCAAGTTGCTTGAGCTCATAAACTACGTCAGCATAAGTCACTCATTAAAATTGATGTGTGAAGGTAGTATTCTCAAACAGCAGGTTGCTCGGTTTCTTATTTTTTTAATCAGCCAAATAATGAGCTGGGGTAGAGTTGCTTAACCAGGCCAAGGGAAGAAGAAAGCGGAATCATCTTCAAACGGCCATCCTGGATTTAATAGCCTACAACAAAACCCTAAGCAGGTCAGCTTCATGGTTCAGCAGTTCCTAAAAGCCTTGTCTTCTTCTCCCAAGCTTATCGGTGACGGCTGGTGTATAAGAGCTCCCAATGAGAACTGATTTACAGCACTGAAGGGCTTTCTGGTAACAAAGGCAGGCCAGGGTCCTCGAGAGCTTTCTGTACTTTTTAGATCCCAGAAGATGATGTGGTTCTGTGATAGTAATCTCTTACACTTTACCATTGACATAAACAGGTCACAGTGCCTGCAAAAGCTTAAGCAGGAGTCAGGAGCAATCTCTCTCTCTTTTTTTCTGGGTCAGAGTCAGATTTTATCGAGTCAAGCTATCTAACTGAACACAAACCATGCGATAGGACCCAAACATTGTGCATTAAAAATGAAGCCGAATGGGGCCAGGTTTGTCTCAGGCTAGTGCTGCTACAGGGATAAGTTTCAGACATCGCCTGAATACAAAATTATTTTTTTGCTGCATTGACAAAAATCCCACTTTTAAGGAGGAAAGAAAGAAGTTGAGAATAAAAAATAACAAAAATGCACATACAATTCTAGTTTCAAACTAGATGTATCTGTTGTGAAGCCAAATGTTGGCTAAATAGGAAAAGTCAGGTGAGTTAAAGTCTCATGGCAGTCTAGTTTAAACCATGGCTACACAAACCAGAGCCCTGTCCAGATCTCAGGAAAGTGAATTATATATAATAACACTTACAGTTTCCTAGTACTATTAGATTTGCCTTCTTACATAAATGCTTAAGTTATGATAAAAAACAGGGCCACGTCAGTTCCTTTCAGTCTCAGCACATTTGCTATTAGCATAAGAAATGCTGCTTATGGCAGAGCTAGTCGGGCTTGAAATTTCTGAATTAATGGATTTGATTTCCTCTTGAGACAAACCATCAGCCTTGCAGTAATGGAAATAGATATAGTTGGTAAAACAAATAAAAAACTGGCATGCAGATAAAATGGGTTTCAGTTTAAAATAGTAATGTTGTAATTGAAGTGAACAATTACAGGGTTGCTCCTAGGCACAAAAGAAATACCATGAAAATGAAGTAATGTTTTTAAGTGTAGTCATTTCAGGAAAATGTAGAGCTGCAGATGTCATTGTCTGCCAAAGGGAAAACTATACTTATTCTTCTATACAAAGATCATTTAATAACATTTGGCTAATTTTAATAATAATTGCTAATATTAACCCTATATTTCACCGGGAGTTTGAAGACAAAGGCTCCCCGCCCCCGCCCCATTCTTTGCCTGAAATTCAGTTGGTACAGCGCCAACAAGATCAAGTTCCTGTGAAAAGCTATTGGCAACAAACTATCAGAAACCCCCACTCAGAAAGCAGCCTTCTCCTTTCTAACGTCTTATTTCTCTTTCTTTGTCAAGCATCTCGTATCCGAAATGGAGCCCGTGAGCTGGCAACTGGGGTGCAGGCGGAGCTTAGAATAAAGGAGGGCTGGAGAGTGGGGACCCCAGGGCAGGGAAGTAGAAGTAGGCCCGGAATGTCTACATCTGATCCCCTTTACTCTTTTTTTTTTTCTTTCCATCTGTTTCAACTTGTCTGTGAACCATATGAAATTTAGAACAGAAATTTCCATTTTTAGAACTTGAAATCTTTTCATGTGCATACACACACAAACTGAGGCAGCCAAGGCCACAGGATGTCACAGGAAACATGAGTGTCTCATTGAATGTGAAAAGGCAGTGACACAAATACACTTTAACAAAATGCTCAGCTGGGTCCCAGCCCACCGCCTGGCCCTCCTCCCCGCTCCTCGGTTTTACAGCGTCGCAGGAAGAGACATGCACTCTGTTTCCTCCTCAGGTTTTAGCAATTAAAACAATATTGGAGCTCCGTGAAATTCTATTTGGAAATACACTGCGCTTTGTTCCCTGTGATGCTGACTGCCGCACACAGCCCGTTTGGCTCATTTGGCATTTCTTTCTCGGAGGGAAGCACTTTTCCTGGTCTGGTTGATTTTTTTTTTTTATTTCATATCACAACACTGAAGAAACCACAGAGGAGTGAGAAAATGAAAGTCTCTTCTAACAAAGGACTTAGCTGTGACTTCTTAAGAGAAAAGGTTAAATCGACTGGCTGTGTGTCTTAGAGTGAAGTAGGGAGAAGGGCTGCTTCCCTTTTTACTCAGCCAGTTAGAATAATTCATTTCCTAACGCAGCCTACCTGTGACAGTCACAGGTGACCTCCCAGCCTGCTAAGCTCGGCTGATTTCCCCTTCCCATTGTCCAAGCACAACTCCTGCCAGAAGACAAATGTACTGCAAGCCGGAGACGGATCTGCCGAGCAGGGGGAAAGCAGCCTGTCTACAGATGTCATTTTAAAGCCTCACAAGGAGATTTTACTGCTTTCTTCACACTCTCACACTTACATAAATACACCCACACAGTACAAGCAAGTTCCTGAGACTCCCAAGCATTTCTCTTCCATTAGGAGACATTTTAAAACAAATTAGCACCCTCCCCCAAAGCCTATTGGCCTAAGTGTGTTTATTACTTTGTTTGTGCTTTTAAAAGCTCTTCCTATAGGCTTCCAGTCAGACCGTTCCTGGCAAATGATGTTCACCCTTCCTCCATTGAGGAATACACATATCCAACAAAGACTCAGATCTTTTCTTTTCCCCTCCTCTTGACACAGCGGCTGGTGACACATAAATGTACTTTTTTTTCTTTTGACAGAGTAATAAAAATCTCATTATCTCTGAATAGGCAGCAATTTCGTTATCTAATCTTTTTACCAAAAGGTTAGTTAATTAATCAGAAACAAATCCTGATTATTATTTCAATAGAATTAGAAAGACAAATCACCAGAGTACAACTAACTAGGGCAGGCCTGCGGTTTCACCTGCCTCATTGCCATGCGGGCCCCGCGATTGTCAGGGTTCCTCCAGGAAGACAGCCTTCGGAACAGCAGCCAGCAGATGGCTGCTCCGAGGCCAGCCTGCCTCGGCTCTCATGCCTGTGATCCCATTACCTCACTGAATCCGTTACCAGGGTAACTGTTAAATTGCTGTGAAAGGCATGGTAATAAAGTAACCTGTCACATTGGCAATAAAAGGAGCAGAATTTTCCTGTTCACTGAACTTTGCAGCTCATCAATACTCACTTGATGGAGAAATTCCCCACTACTCCTGGGTCAGCCACAGGAATCCTTCCATAAGGCTTCTGAAATGCAAACTAAAGTTCATGTAAACACAGGGAAGATATAATTAAAAGCTGTATTCTTAGCTGCCCAGAGCTAATGCTTCCCTCTATTCTGTGGAAGGTTATGGGAGCTTGAAGAACATCAGACTGCTCCCTTTGTTGTTGTTGTTGTTTTTTAATTTAAAGCATGCTAGATAAAAATAACCTTTGCTGGTGAAAGACAGCTGTGATTAATTCAAGACTGGGAAAACAAAGACCATGGGGGAAAAAAAAATCCCTTGTTCCTAAAATGTCTCGCTTTTGCAGATCCTATCTTATTGGCTGTTTTCATTAAAGGGTCATGGCATGTTAAAAATGACTTGAACTTAAGCATTTAAAAGAAAGAATGGAACTCCTTGGTTTTCACAAGCATGAGGAGCTGGAAACAACAACCCACCTCCCCAATACCAGAGAGAGTTAGGGTCGATCAGCTATAACTGCAAAGAGATAAATGTAGGCTGAACATATGCACAGGACTGGGTGTCTCCCTCTCCTGAAAATGTCCTTCAAGGGTTTCTATGTCAAGGATTCTAGCAGTGATGCCATCAGGTATAAAACTTGCTATAATTAATTGAGGTTCTTTGAGGTAAGAGAAGAGAATAGAAACACCCTCTCAGCATTAAAGAATAAGAAACAAGCAGAAAACCCCATTTACTTCAATTACATTCTGCAGCCAGCCCTATGAACATGCATGGAAAGTGGGGTATATCTATCTAGCCCTCATTATTAGCCATTTGCAGACTTCACGCTTTTGGCTCCATTTGGTGCCGTCATTAATTAGGCAGTGTCAACCTTAGAAGACTTTGGAGCTTGCCTATTGAAATAACACTGGGCATGCTTCGCTTTCTCCCTCCCTTCCTTTGACTTGCAAGTGCTCCCAGCTTGTTATTAAAAAACTGACACTATGTCTTTGACCAGTCAGCAGCAGACATGAACCATCCTTCTAGTGGTAATGGCGACCCACGAAAAGGAATCCCTCTGAGCAGGTGTTGTCTTCATCACAGGGTGCTCAGCAGGGCCTCGCTGGCTGGCCGCACCACCCAGGGCCTCCACTGGTGTCGTGGAAATGACGGGCGCTTTTCAGAATCAGGTGGCAATATGTTACCTGTGGAAAAGTGGATTAGTTGCCAGCTAGACTCAGGGAAATGAAGGCTATGGCTTCATGATGTCCACAATTGTTTTAAAACAGAAATGTTTTCTGTCCTGTTGAAAGTAGTTCTCAAATATAGAGTCACAACACACACACACACACAAACAGAATTACAGAAGTAACTATTCATAATCAACTCTAAGCTCACCAACGGTATGCTATCATCCCTGTGAAGGTTTTCCATGGATGTTAGGTTAGGAGAAAGTTTTTTTTTTTAATTAATTTATTTATTTTAATTGGAGGCTAATTACTTTACCATATCATAGTGGGTTTTTCCATACATTGATATGAATCAGCCATGGCTGACATGTGTTCCTTATCCTGAACCCTCCTCCCACCTCCCTCCCCATCCCCTCCCTCTGGGTCATCCCAGTGCACCAGCCCTGAGCACCCTGTCTCATGCATCGAACCTGGACTGGTGATTTATCTCACATATGATAATATACATGTTTCAATGCTATTCCCTCAAATCATCCCACCCTCACCTTCTCCCACAGAGTCCAACAGTCTGTTCTTTACATCTGTGTCTCTTTTGCTGTCTCGCATATAGGATCATCGTTACCATCTTTCTAAATTCCATATATATGCATTAATATACTNGCATATAGGATCATCATTACCATCTTTCTAAATTCCATATATATGCATTAATATACTGTATTGGTATTTTTCTTTCTGACTTACTTCACTCTATATAATAGGCTCCAGTTTCATCCACCTCATTAGAACTGATTCTGATTCAAATGCATTCTTTTTAATAGATGAGTAATATTCCATTGTGTATATGTACAACAGCTTTCTTATCCATCATCTGCCAATGGTTGCTTCCAAGTCCTAGCTATTGTAAACAGTGCTGCAATGAACACTGGGGTGCACGTGTCTCTTTCAATTCTGGTTTTCTCAGTGTGTATGCCCAGCAGTGGGATTGCTGGGTCATATGGCAATTCTATTTCCAGTTTTTTAAGGAATCTCCACACTGTTCTCTATACTGGCTATACTAGTTTGCATTCCCACCAACAGTGTAAGAGGGTTCCCCTTTCTCTGCACCATCTCCAGCATTTACTTACTATTCTAAAGTTAGAAGTTGGAGATCAAAATGCTGGTAGGGCTGGTTTCTTCTGAGGCCTCTCTCTCCTTATCTATAGATGTCCATCTTCTCCCTATGTCCTCACGTGTCTTCCTTTCATGTCTGTGCTCTAACCTTTTCTTCTTGGAGGATACCAGTCATATTGGATTAAAGTCTACCCTAACAACCTCATTTTAGCTCATCTCTTTAAAGACCCTATCTCCAAATACAGGCACATTCTGAGGTTCTGAGGGTTAGGATTTCAATACACAAATTTTGTGGGGGACACAATTCTGTACCACAATGCCAGTATAGGCCTAACCCAACTTTATTACAAAATAAATCCTCGCAATGATAGTAATTACCAGTGCTTGCAATGTGAAAGGCACAGTTGTGGGCCATTTTATCTCATAAACTTATTGAATTCTCACTGCATCCCTATGAGGCAGGTAATATGATCTCTCTTTTCATAGAAGAGACCTGAAGGCAGAGAGAGATTAACTCACTCAGGCAGTAATCTGATGGAGAGAGGATTGGGATCCAAGCAGTATCTGAGAACTCCAGACTGTAGTTTCTGTTTAGGTAGTGCAGAACTTTTATGGTGAGAAAACACCCTACTACGACCTCAGATTTAGAGAATAGAAGGCACACTTATCTGATGAGAGAGTCTGGTAATCTACAGAAATGCAAATCACTCTCATAAAATCAGGCTTATATAAATTTCCTATGGATGCACGTCTATTCTCACACCAGTAGGTTTTATCAGAACTTTATGCTGAACCAATCTGAAATAATGATACGTTCTTTATCATTTAGGGAAATCCAGGGATTGAAGAAAAGTAAAATTTGATTAACTTCATGCTCTGGAGCAAAAGATATCAGCAAGACTCTCAGAATATGGGATAATCATCAAGACAAAGTTGGAAAATTTCTAGAAACTCTATAATTTGCGCTTGTTTTGGCCATTGTTGCTGTGTGCCCCTTCACCCACTGTTAGTATGAAAAATGAAACCAAAAAGAGAAAGATTTAGGTCTATTTATATTCCAGATCTCTACAGAAAGGATAACTTGGAGTGGTTAAATTCTATTTCAAAGCTAGTCTTGGAAGACCAGGATCCTAACACACAATGTTAACCTTAAAAAGTAAAAACCTGCTCAGATTTTATGTAAAAATCAGAATTCTGTGAGAAAGAGTTTGAGCTGTCATACCTGGTAGCTGAGAGTAAACCACACTGAGACACTGTAAGGCATCTTCCTATTCATCATAGCTTTGTGGAAGGGTACAGCAAGAGAAAAAAATGGGTTTTTCACAGTTTTTCTTCCTAGTCCAACAAAATGAACCAATTTCACCACAGGGCCACTTATGCATAGTTAATTGATTTTCCTAATCGGACATTTTGAAAAAAACATTTGAGCTCTGTGAGCTTTTGCGTGTTTTTCTCACTGGAGACTTGAGAGGCACATACCCATTGTTCTTTGTAGCTTTATACTATGTTACTGAAGCACAGATGAAGGCAATGTTTTTCATACTTTTGATTTATATATAATTTTCTTCCCTGAGTAATTTTTTCCCCCTTCTTGTGTGCCTGCACTGACATTGCAGGGAACTGCAGTTTTGGTTGGAACTTCTGAAACTCAGCAGTTTGAGGCTGTAATGTCTAAAACCATTATCATGGGTTCAAACAGGACTGCCATAATTGTGATGTAGACCAACCTAGAGCAAGCTCTTTTTCTTAATGTAATAAAAGATTTGCCAAACAGTTATTTGATTATGCTAATTAACTTGGCTGTAATCATGTCTCAGACTGAAGAGGAGCAAGCATTAGGAAGACAGAAGGAATTTAGTGAGACAATTTTGATTTGATGTGTTGATTTAAAATACAGTACTTTTGAAAAGGTTTTTCTTTGGATTCAAATCCTCTTTTAAACACGGTATGCTAAAAAAGACTCATTTACTAGCACTTAATCAGGTGCTCTCCCAGTCTATTATTCTTTTCTCCTAGTTACTATTATTGCAATTTGGTCACAACGTGACATGTCAACTCTAGGACTTTGTAACAGTGTTATGCTGAAACACTGTAGCTGTCTGCTTACAAGTTTTCAGAACAGAATAGTTACGCATGCAGGTGAGTGGATGAAAAACACGATTATGTATGTATATGTGTGTAGTGGAAAGACTGAAGAATGAATTACTTATTATATTAATATTATTTGATTATTTCTGGATAGCAGGGTTATAGGTAATCATTCTCTTATCCAGTGTTCATTTCTTATTTTCAATCAGCAAATACAGAGATAGATATGGGTATAGATGACTCCCACAGCTATTTCCCCAGCCTCAACATTTAAACATTCAGTTGTTTCCATCTCTCATCTAAATATCCTGTTCTGGAGGTTCAGTGAAACTCAAAAGATTCAAAACTGAACTCATTATAGTATCCCCAAATTCCCATTCCCCCTATTTCTGTTCATACAATCATTTTCTGTTTGGCTACTCAAATCTAGTCTGGCAAGTCTAAAGTCATTCATGGTTTGTGGTCTCTTGCTTCTCACAAGTGATCAGTCCAGTCTGCTGGCTAGAGCCCCCTCAGTTCACAGTTACAGTCCTCCCCTCTTTTATTGGCAGAACCGACATCCCATTCTCTGTTACTTCTTATGCTGACTCCCACATAAGAAATCAGTCAACAGGTTTCATATTTTTAAAACATATGTTTTTTCTCAAATTAAGATATTTGTAAAGAATTTTATAAAGAGTTCTGTCACAACTTCAAATGGGGGTAATTAAGCATATTACATAATGTATTTTTCTTAGATATACTAAATAGTGATGAACAATGTTCCTGATCTGTAAATTGTTTTGAGAGTGTAGGTATTTTGAGGTGTAATCTTCATACAGAATGATTAAGTTCACAAAATTTAATTCCAGATAGTGCTAGCTTGCCATATGTGGTATTCTAAACATGTTCTTCTCTAGAGTTTATACTATTTACTAGAATTTTTTATTAAGATAGGTGAACAAAAGATTTTTAAAAGGAATTTTATGAAAATCCATACAGCTCAACCTAGTAACCATCGTACTTGAAATCATTTTAATTTTCAGTGGGTTTGGTCAAGGAAGACACATTTATTAAGAATCAAGTATAGACGTAAAATGGACTGTAACAGGATAAACACTGTGCCCATGAATTTTCAGGGCCACTTTGATAGCAGAGTATCTGACCAGTATAAGTTTTATTTAAAAAGAACTAAATGGTTCAAGTCATAAATAGTTTCCCCTCACCCCACCTTTAAGTAGTTAATGACAGGGATTTTTACAAATTATTTTATATTGGCCATACTTATAACTTTTCTAATTAATAAAAATTAATCACTGAATTATTCAAAAATTGAATGGCTGTATAATAATCAAATATAGCTATATGGGTCACTTCCTGTTCTCTAGGGGCTATTAAGCAGGCAAGGGGAAATGTATCTTCCCCACAGGATACACTTCCAACTTTCCCAAGAAAAACATCAAAGGAACATATATCTATTTTCCTGCCTCAGAATCTGCTGACATCATCTGAATGAATTAAAGCCACAAAAAGATCTTCTTCCATGCTGATTAAGACTTAGCTAAAAGGGGACTCTGTAATTACTGAAATTATTACCTTAAATTATCCACACTTTGTATTTAAATTTAAACATAAATATTATTTACAAAACCACTGAAATATTATTCAAATGCAACTTATTTTTTCTTTCTCTCAAACATAAAAACAAAAATCTTCAGAATTCTTTGAAATTCAATCTGGTAATGATTATTGGATTAAAACCACATTTGGAAATGTTTACTATTTCTGTTTGACAATCCAGAATGGAGGGGGCGGAGTGGGAAAGGTGGGTAAAA